CTCGGCCAAACCTAGTTGCTTCGCGGCCGAGTCCGAGTCCTCCATCCAAAGACACTGTAGCGGAGGGGGGGTGTATCCCGCGAGGTTAGCCGAACTCGTCCGAATGAGAGTTATTCTCCGATCTCGCCCGAACTCCTCTTTAAGAATCCCGAATAGGGAAACGAACGGCCCAAGGCCTGCTCCGATCTTATCCGAGTATCGTCGACGACGGGTGTCCCCGAATCCGTCCTGCGGCCCGCTTCGGTCTCACCCGAGTGATCCCGATCGGAGCCGACTTCTCCCGATCCACTGAAAGTGCATGTTGAGGCTACCTAGAGCGGGACCGGAAGCTCGCGAAGATATCCGAATAGGTCGCGGTTACTCATCGACCTACGGCCGTTGCCGAAGAGGCCCGAGTATTTCCGGCTATGACCGAACCGAGATGGGAGGCAAAAGTCCGAAGAAGAGCGAAGACTTCGTGAATCCTCCCTCTCCCAATGCGGCCCACCGGCGGTGTCCGAGGGGGCCCGAATAGTTCCGAGGACGCAAGCAATAAAGGCGATCGTGGAGTTCCGCTCGCGCGAAACCCGCCGAACGACAATCCGCCCATGAAGCCCTCGGAGGAGGCTGCGCAAGGGTTGTCGGGATGCTGGAAGAATTGGTGCGGGGAGGGGATTGAGGGGGAGAAAATATGGCGGTCGCCAAGCAAGGTGAGCGGAGTTGCTTTGAAGCAACGTTGCCTCAAGTTTTGAGAAGCGAGTTAAGACGAGAAGGGAGGCTTAAAGGACTCCTGGACACTGTTGGCGGTATCTCGCCGGTCCTTAGGTTGGAGCCTGATCTGACTGCAAATGGATTACCTTGACAACAGTGAAACAACTGCCTGTTTGGCTTTCAAGCAAGTTCTGCTGTGTTAAAGAGAACTTGCTTTTAAGTCAGTAGGGACGTGATTGCAGCATGTTTACGCTGGAGTAACTGGTAATTATCCGTGCGATGGTAAATAAAACTGGTAATGGTGAGCCGGTATCGCTGGATTGAATGGCTTCCCGCCATACCGGTCGCTTTCACCCCCATCGGTAACTCTTTTTTGTAGACTAGGAAGAGGACGAAGGGAGTTTCTCTGTGGAAAATGCAGTCATTCTCCTACAGGGCAGTCGAGGCACAGATTAGCCAACTGGTTTGTTTCTGTGACGTTCTAGCAGTATCATCTATGGAAATTACAAGTAGTCCTCACTTACTGACCACTCATTCAGCAACTGTTTGAACTTACTATGGCACTGAAAAACAAGACATACAACCGGTCTTTGAAGTAGCAGCCTCCCTGTGGTCACATGATTGTGATTTGGGCAGTTGGCAACCAGCATGCATTTATGACGGTCTCAGCATCCCGTGGTCACGTGATTGCCATTTGTGACCTTCACTGCTGGCTTCCAACAAGCAAAGTCAATGGGGAAGTCAGCAGGAAGTTGCAAGTCATGGTCATGGTCACATGGCATCGCATTTAATGACCATGCCACTTAGCAATGGAGTTACCAGTCCCAGTTGCGGTCAGTAAAAGTGGACTATCTGTAATGGAAAAGAAATGAACACCTTCCCACTTTGATGTGATGGGACACAAAGTGTTGTAGCCCTTTGCTGTAAATGCCTTATGGCATCTGGCTTCAGGTGCTTGCTTATTCAACCTAACCTCTCTCAGCCTAACCTTCCTCACAGGGTTGTCATCTGAAGAAAATAAGAGAACTAACCAGAAGTTGGGATGAAAGAGGATAAGGAATAAGTAAAGAATATGAAACATTTTGATATTTTTTCTCAGAAAGATGTAATTTTGTGTATGTGAAACACATTTCTGCACTAGCTTAATCACGAAACAGCTTTTTTTGTTTATACCATTTCAAAACTATCAAAATGGCCACAAAAGTCAAAGGGCCACAATATTGTAAGATGACTACTGCTTGCTGCTTACTTCTGTAGTTTTGGACCACAGTATAATTCACAGTTTCCTTTCAGTAAATCCCATTAACTTCGGTGAGGTGCTTTTGCTGTTTTCATTAAAAAAAAAATTGCTGTTAATCTGACAATTTGACATATTTTAGGTGTTTTGCAGTTAATAGTTACTAATACTAGCAATAATATAATGATGGTGATAATAACAATAATTTATTAAAACTGTATGCCACCCAACTCTCAGTGACTGGGCAGCTCACAACAATCAAAGAAATTATAATTAAATCAATAAAACATAAAACATACTAGAAGATATATTCCAACAATAAAGTCTATAGTCAGATCCTTTCCCCCTAAAACACATCAGTGGGCTATTTGTGGTCCCATGACTCATTTTTGCAATCCTCAGAGGCCCCTGGGATTAAAAAAAAGAAAAAAGAAATGGCAACAACTTTGCAATTTTCAGCAGTACTTTTTTCAGAATACAGCAGTTTTGAAATAGCTCCACCCTTTCTGTGGTATTACTACTAGCACCTTTGCAGCCTAAAACACTAAAGTACTGCCATTAACTGCAAAAAGTTACCCATGCCCTAAAATAATTTAGCGTTAATTGAATTACAGTTAATAAGATTCAGATTTGTTTATTTATATCCCACCTTTCATTCAGGGTCTCGAGGTGTCCTATTTATGAAGGTTTATTTTCTTCCAATATGATTATCTATTCAATGCTGAATGGTGCTATACTAGAGACAAACTTAGTGTGATCTAACAAAGATGTTATGTTTTATAGAAGGCAACTGATGGGCAATGATACTGTCATCTGGAGAGGATATTTGTTAAATGCTTAAATCTGCATTTCCCAGTATATTGTACATTTAATATATTTTGTGGCTTTAATAAATACTTTACAGAAACTAATTGTTCCACTTTACTCAGATCCCATCTTGTGTACTGCATCCAGTTTTAAGAACAATATAGAAAATTTGGAGCAGGTTCAGAAAGGGCAACAAGGATGCACAGAACTAGAAAATAAATCTTGTAAGAATCAAAGTATTGGGAAAGTCTGACTTTGAGAAAAGACAGCTAAAGGGTGTTATCACAGTAATTTTCAAATATCTGAAAAGATGTCATATAGGGTCATAACCCATTTTCTTTCATTCCAGAGGGGAGGTTGCTGAACATTGGATTTAAGTTAGAGAAAGGCAGATTACAAATGAACATTAGAGGGAGAAAAAAAAAAAGACTTTCTGAAAATAAGGGCAGTCTGACAGTGGTAGAGCCAATTACCTAGAAAGGTGGTAGGCTCACCTTGTATTCTAATAGAGGTTAGACGGTTGTTCTGCAGAGATGCTTTAATTTGGATTCCTGCACAGAGGAAAGGATTGGATTGCCTAAATGGCCTCTTCCAATCTGTGATTTTATGATTCTCTGATTCAGTACTGATTGGCTATCACTCACTTTTTTAGCCATGTTAACAAACTATCAGTGTTATCCAGCAGAAGGTGAAACGTGCACCTTAACTTGCACTGAGGCTGAAATAATTAGCAAACTAAGAAATCATTCCATGATTAATTCACTAGAGGGAGACAGAGCTACACTATGTAATTGAATTACACTTGAATAAAGCTCTCAGAGTTGTATATACAGTCCACCTTCCCTTCAACTCTGAGCAGAAAGAGACAGATGCTATATTATGTCATGTCCTTGTGCCCAGGTTTATCACACTGGATATATACTGTGTAAAAATAAAGAAATCCCCCCCCCTCCAAGAGGGGTGTGGAGGTAATTTAAAACCCCATATATGGGGTGATGACATAAGGCAACATCTGTACTTCTCTGTTCTCTAGAGTTGAAGGGAAGATGGACTATATATACCATTCTGATAGCACATCTAGATATCCCTTCCTGTAATCACTGAATGAGAGGACCTGGATAACTCCTAAAGCGAATGTACTCTATGTAGTCAACTAAAGTTTGAAAGTCTGTGAGTTCAATTCCCAGTAGATATAGTGGGGCAAAAAAGTATTTAGTCAGCCACCAATTGTGCAAGTTCTCCCACTTAAAAAGATGAGAGAGGTCTGTAATTTTCATCATAGGTACATTGTCTGATTTTTAAAGAATTTATAATAAATTCTTTAAAAATCAGACAATGTGATTTTCTGGATTTTTTTTCTCATTTTGTCTCTCATAGTTGAGGTATACCTATGATGAAAATTACAGACCTCTCTCATCTTTTTAAGTGGGAGAACTTGCACAATTGGTGGCTGACTAAATACTTTTTTGCCCCACTATACATTGTCTGATTTTTAAAGAATTTATAATAAATTCTTTAAAAATCAGACAATGTGATTTTCTGGATTTTTTTTCTCATTTTGTCTCTCATAGTTGAGGTATACCTATGATGAAAATTACAGACCTCTCTCATCTTTTTAAGTGGGAGAACTTGCACAATTGGTGGCTGACTAAATACTTTTTTGCCCCACTATACATTGTCTGATTTTTAAAGAATTTATAATAAATTCTTTAAAAATCAGACAATGTGATTTTCTGGATTTTTTTTCTCATTTTGTCTCTCATAGTTGAGGTATACCTATGATGAAAATTACAGACCTCTCTCATCTTTTTAAGTGGGAGAACTTGCACAATTGGTGGCTGACTAAATACTTTTTTGCCCCACTATAATGAAAATTACAGGCCTCTCTCATCTTTTTAAGTGGGAGAACTTGCACAATTGGTGGCTGACTAAATACTTTTTTGCCCCACTGTAGCTTGAACTCCATAGAATAATATCTGGCTACCCATACCTAAATATTACCAATAAGTGATGAAATTGGTCACACGGTGCTTCTGGCATTCCATGTAACGTGAATAAAGGTAGTTAAGTCCAACTTGACTTCTAGTGTGGATATAAACATGTTCTTTAAATAAGCCTAAAATTCATAAGTTCTTATTGTATTGCATAACTTATTTTATTTTCTGATCAGAATTTTGGGCTATATTTTCTTAACTGCTTACAACTGAATGGCTCATCCCAGAAATAAATCTATCTAATGTCTTCATAAGTTTACTTAATATATTTAGGATTATAGCTCTAAACCAAAAACATGTACAGAAGATTCTGTAAGTAATTTTGAATTAAGATATTATCAAAAGGGATAGGGGTGCTGCAGCATTGAAGCAAGGTGTGCCACGTTCTGAATTAAGTTTTGCCACTGCTGATTACTGTAGGACAATACTACTTTCTCAAAACAGCTAGAAGAATTTCTGTGCCCCACTTTTTGTAACTTTTTGGCCTTAAAAGTATATTTTATTTTTGTCTTGTGTACAGGGAGATCATCATCTGTTGTATCCTTTTTCTTTTATCCAGAAAACCAAATAAATTTTGTTTCATCATACCTATGGTTTTCAAATGTGCTTTAGGGAATGTTGATTTCTTCTTAGAGGTTTATGATGGTTTTTGTTGGAAAATGAATAATGGTGGATAAGCTTCTTCTGATGTACAAATGCAGGAGACTGTTAGGTACATCTTGTAGCATCTTTCCTGTTCACATGATCTTGCATGAATGGCCTTGAGGTACCAATCATAATCTTCTGAAATCCACATAAGTTCCATAGCAGTCTTCTTGATGCGATTACTTCCTGAAACTTAGAAATATGAGAACTGTTGCTATATGTCATTGTCCTCTAATAAGTTTAATTTCCAAACTCTTAATTATGTTTAAAGAGATGCTATGCAAGCTGACCATATTGTTATTGACTGTAGGTATTAAGATATGATTGACTTGTATACTGAGAATCCAAGAAATGAAATACACAGAATAATAATATTTAAAGGAGGTAACTATGAGACACAAGCAAAGCAGAAAAATCCTCCCCCCAAAAGCAATTGAGACATAATCTTCAGCTATTTCTTCTACTGTAATCTCATTTTCATTTTCACTCATCTGTTCTGTAAACTGGAATATATCTGTTACTGGTAGGTTTTAAAATCTCTAATTGAAAAGGCATTATCTAAGTAAAATAGAAGCAAAATTAATATCAACATAACAAACTATAATATACAAAATTCTTTCTGACCTAAGTGGGTCAGAAAGACCTAAGTGTTTAAAGCCGGCTGGCTGAGTTGGTGCCAGTCACTCTCAGCCCAACCCACTCACAAGGTTGTTGTTGTGGGGAAGATAGAAGGCAGAAGTATTGGTTAAGCTGCTTTTCTCTAAGAAAAGTTTGGCTTTCAGCAATTTACATGTTCTAGCAAGAGTACTGCAAATATTTCTTCAGTGCAAGACTATCATAAATGTAAGGGAAATCATACCAATTATTTAACTCTTGCTGTTTTTTGAAAGTCTGATTGCCAGATTTATCATACTATTATAGATTTATAAAATTAAAGAGAACAAATAAAAACTACCAGATGTGTGCTTTTCAGTTGTAATTCTGATAGAAAGCCAGTTTGGTGTAGTGATTAAGGTGCTGGCCTAGAAACCAAGAGATGGTGAGTTCTAGGTGTCGGTTAGCATTAAAGCCGGCTGGCTGAGTTTGTGCCAGTCACTCTCAGCCCAACCCACTCACAAGGTTGTTGTTGTGGGGAAGATAGAAGGCAGAAGTATTAGGTATGTTCACTGCCTTGAGTATATAAAAAAAGGTGGGATAAAAATATTTTTATTATTTATAGATTTTTTTGTAACCTGTTTATCAGGATGCAGTTCCTTTCATGGCAGCTTATATATAATACAGTACATGAATAAAATCACAATAAATAATTTAAATTGTAATATAGTGTCAGGACACTTTCTGCAGTTGGTGGTAGATGGTCCTGTGCCTGAGGAGTCTCAACAAGGACAAAACTGTTCATGTTATACCTTCTAGTGGTAAGTGTAACTGAAAATACCACACAGGATATGATATAATGTAACATCTGTATCTCTGCTCGGGAAGAGCTTAAGGGAAACATTAATTAAATTTAATTAATTAAAATATAACATTTTAATAGTGCTTTTAGATATTCCTTCCTGAAAGCGCTGAGTGCCAGAACCTGGATACTTATTAAAGCTAATGCACTCTATAAAAATATAGATGCCTATATAAAGTGTGAAGGTCTGTGAGTTCAATTCCCAATAGTCGGCAGGAACCTCAGAGAATCACATCTTGTCTGGCTACCCGCATCTGAGGAATCCCCCAAAAAACGAGACTGGTCATACAGTGCCTCCTGGTCGTTTATGTAACTGAAGTTCAGAGACAATTTTCAGGCCTTTTCAGATAAAAAAAGGTTCCAAGCATTTAAGATGTGAGAGTAGAGAGCGAGCCAGCATAGCATATCCCTAAAGTGTAGAAAGGATGTAACAGAAATTCAGTCTTTAGCTGAAAGGATTTCATATAATGGGTAGGAAACAAAATCATGAGTGGATGAAAAAATAGCTAAAGAAAATGTAACGTTTTGAAGTATTCTGAAATGTAACTTTGGAATAGCTGAATGGTGATGCGGCAGGAACACTAGATCTACCCTGGAAGCAGCCATCCCTCAAAAAGACCACTTTTTAAAAATTGCATACTGAAGTAGGGGAGTTTAGCTGAATTGCCTATGGCTTCTAGTTAATTGAAGTGCAGTTACCTCACTTTGGTATTCTTATCCAAGCCTAAGTTTACTATCAATCTCTGAAAATGGAATACTGATTTGACTTCAATTTATGCTACTACAATATACACTGAATGTCACTGCTGTTTACAATATATTTTGCTGAATTATGATCCAACATAAACAAAATGTGAAAAAAATATGATCATAAATAATTTTCCTTGACAGAAGCTGCCAGCTATCATCTGTTTCCTTACAGATCCTTTTTGGTTTAGGTGCAATTTATTATATATTTTATTTTTTAGCAGTACTTCTAATGATTATTTATAAAAGTAAGTTGTTTAAAATACACAGTTAAGAGATGGTTCTGCTGACACCTGGCAGCATGATATAACTTGATTTTTTCTCCCTTTATACTTTCCTTATTGTCAGGTCACGTTTTCACTTATCCAAATAATTTATTGACTCTTGATCTCGTATTGCTGTTCTTTATGGCACTTCTAGAAGCTATCCGCCTGTACTTTGGTAAGCATTTATGTAGTTTACAATCACCATTTAATATTAATCTGTATGTAAAAATATGAGTCCAACTGTGCAATTCAAGACAACTAGTCAATTATATGACAAGCCCTTTAAGCACTTTTACTGTTAAACATTAAAAGACTGTTCAATTTATATGGGTAAAAGTGCAAATGAGATTTCACTCTAATATAAAAATAAAACTTCAACTGACCAATTCAGCTGTTTATGCATATTAGCTCAGAAAAAGTTAAGTGGGGCTTACTCTGTATTAAATTGCTGTTTTAAAAATTATAACTATTGCAGAATGAAAACTGTACGGCAATATTCTTCGTCTAGGCTACAGCAAGAGAAGAAGAAAACGTAAAAAAAAGGAAGAACCTGGTTTTTGGGGTTGAGGAGGGCTTCTTCAAACAGCTTGAGCACTCGAAAGTGCTGTAGAATGGAATTGGGCTGGTGTGTCTGTCTGCCTCTTTATCGTATGTGAGGCCACTGCCAGGCTCCAGTTCAGTATCAACTCTTCAAGCAGCCACAGAATAAAATGCACTGCTTAAAGTACCTTCTTCCTCAGATAAGCAGGGTAATTGCCAATACTATGAAAACTACAGTGGGGCAAAAAAGTATTTAGTCAGCCACCAATTGTGCAAGTTCTCCCACTTAAAAAGATGAGAGAGGCCTGTAATTTTCATCATAGGTATACCTTATCTCATCTTTTTAAGTGGGAGAACTTGCACAATTGGTGGCTGACTAAATACTTTTTTGCCCCACTGTAACTGTATGCAAAAGTTTCTACTGTAGTATGCTATACTGGATTATTAGACACAAAGACTGTTCCTAACACGCTGCTGCATAAAACAGAGTAGCTACAGAGTTTATAGCAAGCTACTGCACCATCGACCTATCTCATCTTTTTAAGTGGGAGAACTTGCACAATTGGTGGCTGACTAAATACTTTTTTGCCCCACTGTAACTGTATGCAAAAGTTTCTACTGTAGTATGCTATACTGGATTATTAGACACAAAGACTGTTCCTAACACGCTGCTGCATAAAACAGAGTAGCTACAGAGTTTATAGCAAGCTACTGCACCATCGACCTATCTCATCTTTTTAAGTGGGAGAACTTGCACAATTGGTGGCTGACTAAATACTTTTTTGCCCCACTGTAACTGTATGCAAAAGTTTCTACTGTAGTATGCTATACTGGATTATTAGACACAAAGACTGTTCCTAACACGCTGCTGCATAAAACAGAGTAGCTACAGAGTTTATAGCAAGCTACTGCACCATCGACCTATCTCATCTTTTTAAGTGGGAGAACTTGCACAATTGGTGGCTGACTAAATACTTTTTTGCCCCACTGTAACTGTATGCAAAAGTTTCTACTGTAGTATGCTATACTGGATTATTAGACACAAAGACTGTTCCTAACACGCTGCTGCATAAAACAGAGTAGCTACAGAGTTTATAGCAAGCTACTGCACCATCGACCTATCTCATCTTTTTAAGTGGGAGAACTTGCACAATTGGTGGCTGACTAAATACTTTTTTGCCCCACTGTAACTGTATGCAAAAGTTTCTACTGTAGTATGCTATACTGGATTATTAGACACAAAGACTGTTCCTAACACGCTGCTGCATAAAACAGAGTAGCTACAGAGTTTATAGCAAGCTACTGCACCATCGACCAGTGGCTTCTTCTTTGGCGTTGAGCCTGGCCAGGCAGAAGAGCACAATGAACCTCCAGCAGTTCGTTCTGCTCTATCTTAAGTCCTGTCTACATATGTAGCCAGGTAAAACGCTGGCTTCCTTAAGAAGGCATTTTCTTACCTTCTTAGCATTAGGTGCCAGTACAACTGTTGAAGGAAGAACTCCAGTCATCAGAATGGTGTGAGTGGAATGCTACTCAACAATACTCCAGTAGTATGAGAACTTTGGATCCAGCCAAATATTTTGCCTTTAATAACTTTGACTTTATTGAGTTCAGTTTCTATCAAAGACTACCTCAAGTGATGTTTCTCCCCTGTATATGTTAAATTACTGTTCTGTTTTGGGGTTCTACTCTTATGGCCTAACATTCATAAATTGCCATCGGATACACTTATATCATTTTTTTTTCTACTAGGTACTAAAGGCAACTTGACAGAAGAGGAAGCTCCCCTTGGGATCAGTCTTGGGATCACTGTTGGCAATGTAATTCTATCAGTCTACTTTCTAGTGTGGCAAACTTATATCCTGAGAGCAGATGTCATTATTAATGTTGTGCTGCTTGTTGCATATGGACTTGAAGGAATTCTGCAAATCATAGCAATTGCTGCTTTTGTCAGCTAAATCATGTTGATGCTTGTGTACGTGTATTTTCTGTGTTTTCTTCCAATAGGAGCAACATTTTAAAATTATATAAAGGAGATGTTCTGACAATTCTGTTCCATATGACATACCAACATTTCACAAGATCTTTGTAAAACAAGCTCTGCTGGCCCATTTTCAACACAGTATATTTACTGTAATGACCTATGCTTGCAATGAAAGTTTGCAAGTTTGTGGTAGACAAGCTGTTTTTCCAGGGGGAAAAAACCTCTTCAAATACACAGGTAAATGCAGTGGGTTTATACCAGGAATCCATACATTTTACTGAGACTTAATATCTTAAAATGACTTAATATCTTTAAAAAAATTGGGCTCAAATTTTTGTGGCAAATATGTATTTTCCTGTTATATCTGAACCAGGCCAACAAATGATAGTTAGCCTACAATTAGAATTATCATATTTTCTAATTTTGATTTGCAAGGCATAGCGTAAAGAGAAAGTTCTGATGTTATATCAAAATCTACCAAATGATAGACAGAAGTTACACATTACACTAAAATATAAAGTGATTTGTTTTTGCTTAGTATGATGTGAGATATGTTCAAAAGCCATGGTTTATAATGTAGTTTAGTATGTGAATCCTGCTAGTAAAGACTCATTCAGTATATTACAGTTTTAAAAAGGTGTAGTGTGCTCCACTGACCCATCTGTAATCTTTCTAAAATCTGTTAGCATTCTTGTTTGTATAATTTTCAGTTAATCAGAAGAATACATTTCAAAGTTTCATTTCCAGAATATTAGATTCTAGATGGGCCGGGTTACCTGAGGGACCACCTCTCTCCAATTACATCTGCCCGTCCCATCAGGTCTGGCAGAGAAGGCATGCTGCAAGTCCCATCTGCCAGGAAATTGCATTTGGTGGGTCCCAGGAGGCGGGCCTTCTCTGCCGTGGCGCCTGCCTTGTGGAATCTTCTCCCCCCAGAAGTGAGATTAGCCCCATCCCTCTTAACATTCCGCAAGTCCCTCAAGACCTGGCTATGTGACCAGGCCTGGGACTCCCAGGGGACCAGAGAGATTTTGCCATGGCTCCCTTATTAATTTTATCCCCTCCTGTTTTGTGTGCTTTTATAGTTTTTATTTATAATTGTTTTTATGTATTTATTCTTTTTAACTGTTGTATGCCACCCAGAGTCACTTTTTGTGAGATGGGCAGCTATATAAATACAACAAACAAACAAACAAATGGATGGATGGATGGATAGATTTTACAAGTCCTATAGAATACCTAATTTTATACTGGAATAATTGAGGTGATTTTTCAACATGTTTTCTCCTTTATTTTTGCCTTCAAAATATCTGAAATATATCTGATATAAGCACTGAATTCTATTATTTAGTTTGAATATAGTTAAGAGTATTTCTAATGATTTTATCATCAGTTCCTGTTTCTTGTAATCCTAAGGAAAAGTGAGATATAAATGAATTTTCTGGGAACTACAGTATGAATTATTTTTTCCCTGTTATCTTTCTCTATGTATGTTGATTGGCGACATTTCAGTTTTCTTTTGTAAATACTTGTTTGTGCTTTTTTCCAAGGCAACATCAGTAATATTTTACAGATATATAGATTTGATATGACTTTTTTCTCCCAAAACTCCTATATTTATATTTTTATATCTATTTTTATAAATATTTCAGAGAATAAACAGACTATAAGATACATGATTTTGCATGCCTATTATTGTTCTCCTGATAACAGAATGACAGTTGAATGTAGATTAAGTCCATCTTGTCTATGCTAAATGCTAAGGAGTTCTTTTACATAATGGAAGAATCTTAGCATTGGGCAAAAAGTACAGCTGTGATCAATCTAGGAATCAGAAATTTCATGCTTTAGTGAGTCCTATAGCTTTTAATCCCTAGAATTATTTCAAATCTGGTTGTAGACATTTGTCATGGTTGTAGAGCTGTCCCTCTAGAAGTGCCATGTATCCATGTATTAGGACCAGAGGTAGAGGGAATGAAGTTCAAGATTTTGTAAAGATTATTATGGAGAATGGCTAACGTGCATGATTATTTCTGACATTTCAGATCAATGCAACAGGAATGTTCAGTTAATTAGAATGAGTACTAGTTAAATAAGAATGAGCCAAACTTTGGAAACAAGAGAGGAAGGGCATATCATTTTATAATTACATCTACCAACCCAACAATTGTGATTTGTAACTATTGGTTATATTTTGCAAACCCAGTGAATTTTGGCATATGTTCAAGTGCATGTTTACATAAACATTTTTCATTATGATCAATAGCATTTACTATCATGGAAACATTCACTAGATTGCTAACTTGATCTGTTGATTACTCAAACCCATTTAAAAATGGTTAGCACAATATATCAGTCCAGCCATTGTGTTTTACTTCCCTACGTTTAAGAGTGACTGAGTTACTCCCCTGTGCACATTTTAGGGGTTAGGGCCTAGCAAACTGAGGCTGCATGCAATTCTCAAAACACTTGAATGGGTGGACCCAGAATCTCCCCACTTTTTTTTTTTGCATCTTTGAGAAGGATTGCTTGACATTTTATCCCTTAAAACTCTAAACCCTCAAAAAGCAGACCAATCTTTGCCATTTAATCCTCAAAATACGAAAAATACTCCAAAATAAGAAAAATACAGGCTAAACATTTGTCCTTGCCCACTCTTATGTCACATCATCACCCACCACACTAATAATACTGTCCACACTAACGTACTAAATGTTTTATAAATGGATGTTGCAAAACTGTCATTTCTTTTTATGTAATCTATCTGTATAAAACAAAGCAGTATCTTGAGAAAATAGCTTAGAAATTAATGTCAAGGGCATATATAATATTATCAAATAGACACACAAAACATTTTTAAGGCAGACTTCATCAACCATCAACCTGGTACCCTCCAGATGTTTTGGGACTGCAATTCCCAGCCAAATGTGAAAATTGTAGTGGGTACCAGATTGGAAAATTTGGTTTACATTGCTAAGCATATTAGAGCTTCCTTCCTATACAAAAGTGAAATACAGTAGCCCTAAATAATTTTAACTGAGCCATGGAGCAGATTGCCCAAATATTTCTATGCTATCTCTCACCTACTGAGGTATTTGTGTGCATGAACATGAATTGTCATGGTGAAGTCACAAACAATAATTGCTAAATATGCTAACATTTTAAAGTGCCTAATTAAAAAGCCAAGCCCTGCTGAAACAGGATGAGCAAGTTTAAATTAAAGTTGCATTAAAAGTAAAGAAACATGCTTTTTAGATGCCAAGATCATACTTTGGGTGGTGTTTGCTTCAAGGAAAAAACCTTGTTTTGCACATAACTTGGTTTTATTGCCATCAGGTTAATTTTTAAAATTTTACTATAAAGGGAAAAAAAACATGAGATGTGCTGTAGAGATAAAGCTACATTGTTTTAGACTATTTTGTTACTTCCAAGCCAAACAAATATTAAGGGAAATTAAATCAAAATAAAGTACTAGATTTCATAAGATGCAATAAGCAAGTTTCTGCCCACAACACAGTAAGTTATTGGTGCTTAAGGCAATTTAAGGGAGGACTCTCTTCACCTCTGTAATAAGCTCTGTGGGCTTTGAAAGGTCTTAATGTGCAGAAAATAAGAGGAGCAGGTCACATAGAAATCTGCCTACACAGATATAATTTCCGTGTTCAAAAGTCATAGATAATGCAATAAACACAACTTTGGAATTAGCAGGAATCCGCCAACTACAGCTCTTCCACCTCTTATTAGAGTTGTTTAAAAATGAGTAGGATATTGCAGATTGATTCATCTGTGACATTATATGTTAATGTAAATAAATCTGTTCTACCCACTAATCTGATTTTGGGAGAGTAAGCACGTGCCTAAAAAAAGATTTCAGTCCATTCTTTCAGGGTCCCCACTGCTAGGGTTGGGCTGTAAATCCCCAAAGTGTTCTCTGGGAACTATGTCAAATAGGCATCCCCTTTCCTGTATTTTGGTGTAGGCACCATCCATTTCGGGTACAATCCTGTGAAAAAAGGAAAACTTAAGAAGATAAGTTGAGGTTTAAATCTATAGAAGACTTGTTCTGGCAAAGTCTCGCACAGACTTGTTCTGCCAGACAACTTTTTAAAATATGTTATATCCCTGGATGCTGAATTTCCATGAGTTCATTGCATGATGCATTTTGAAACTTCTTGAGGGCTGCAACTATATGGACCGGATCTATCCCACTGGTTGTCTAACATGATATAAATATATCCATTTAAGTATCATAATAATTAATTTGATTTGTATTAATTTCCCCAAAAATGCATTATAAACTCAGCTGAAAATATAAACAGACATGATAAATCACAGTGTTGTAAGGAAAACACCAGATTTTACAAGCAACGCATGTAGTTATCTTAAATATATAATGAATGAGAACTTAGATAAAAGAATGAAAAAGTCAACACTTATTTGCAGGACAGAGCATTTCTCATCTTGGTAAATCAATGATCTCAAGCCATTTTGCCAGTACAATGCAAATGTAGAGGGAGAGGGGTTCAATGGAAGAAACCATGCTCAACCCATGAAATCTGCAAATTCTTCTAATCAAGTATCACCTGTTCTCTCTCCTGCTGATCAATACTCTGCAAATCCCCACCTGCACTGAAATCCTGTGGGTCCCTTGTATGTCTAGATCTACCATTGCATCCTTGAGTAATGCCAGTTTAATGTGTTCTGAGCATATCCAATCTGTTCTTGCAAATTAAAAAGACTCTGGAGAGAATGCAGAAACAATTCATATGTGCTGTTGGTATCAAGAAGCCACGGTAGGGCACTGTGACATGCATTTGGATATTACTATCCTTGAAATTATTCAACTTGCCTTCCTTCCTTGTTTCCTGGGACAGCTTAACTTACCATTTTCAGAGCAGCAGTTTGTCTTTATAATGCAAATCAAATTGGTTTCTAATTTGCAAGAGCCAACTGCTGCTTAGTAAATAAGGGCACATGCCATTGCTATCATAGTCAGGTTTTGTCTAACTCCTATGGCAATTTTTCAGTGCCCCCATCACCCAGGAAAAGCAGCACCACTTCATAATAGCACCGTCACAAAAAAGATGTATGTACAAGACTTCGGTTTCAAGCCACGGCACCTTTGTAAGTGGCAAACTGGAGAAAGATCTCTTTCTTTCCATCCCTGACTTTGGAGAAGGGCTGCAAACCAGGATAAACAAAACGGGGCAGCATGGGCCCCAGGATTGATGCAAACACCTCCACAGGTCAGGGTGCTTCATCATAAATAAGCAGTGTGTTGGTGTTCAATCACTGCTGATTACCACCTTCGCATGTTAACAAAGCCCAGAGGGAGCCGTCCAGCTCAGCTCTTCCTAGTGGCAGAAGATAATCAACAGCAGGCAGGCCACTACGAAATGAAGTCACTGAGAGTGGTTCAACTCCTGGTGACTTCGCGTTTTCTTGACACCAATACTGAAGTTCTTCTGACTTCCCAACAGAGTTTAATCTACTCCCGGGTACCCCTACATCCCTCCCTAATGGGGGTGACTGCTCGGCGTCCGAGTCTAGGAAAGCAGCTACTGTACCGCATTAAACTAGCAATCACAAGGCCGCTGACGGGGAAATTAGCGGCGTCCATTTCAGCCGGCCCTCCTTCTCAGTAAACATGCCTAGACTTGGGCTGTAACTGTCTCCACCGCCTCCAACTCCGGGCCAAGCCAAAGCCCGCTGAAGGGAAAGGCAGCTTCGCCTCCGCTTCCATCAGAGCCCCACTGGGTTCGGCACGAGCCCTCCTCCTCCTCCTCCTCCTCCTCTCCGGCCCTCGCTAGGGAGAGGCTCCACAGGCCAGGACTAAACGGCGCAGCGAGCCCCCGGGAGCCCAGGTTCGGAGGCAAGGCTGGGAAACGATGCCCCTCGGGAGCAGCCTTGGCACCCTACCCTCTAGCCCGGGAGCCGCCTTTCACGGTAGCCTCAGGCTCGCGGCAGCGTTTCCAGCCCACTGCTGCCGGGGCTAGCGCGGTGGGGGGGGGCGGCGGGGGGTACGGCGTCTTCGGACAGCAGAAGGGTCT